TTATACGGCTAGCAAGCCAATCACTAGCCGCCACGTGTGAATAATTTAGAGCTGGCCAATAATGGGACTCAAATTAGCATACAAATGGCGGGAACTCTTTGCAATGAGCATTTCTGTGCTGCAACAAAGAAATGCACCCTGCAAAGAAAGCTTCAAATTGGCAGGAAATTCTCCCTTGCACCGGGGTTCTCTTTTGCAGCAGAAAACTCCACCGTGCAAAGAAGCTATAATTTAGCGGGGACAATTTAGCAGTGCCGAAGCACACAAAAACAAAAAATCACACCCTTTGGGTTGTGACAGCCACCATGTCAATAGTGCATGAAATAGCCAGGAAGCTTTTTCTTAAAAACGTTTTTCTGAATTTGGAAAACTGAAAGCACAAAAAGCAAAGTTCTAATTTTTTACACAAATGTTCATGAGGATTTTTTAAAAATTGTACATGTATTATAATAAATTCTATTAGAGTTTTTGCAGTATCATTGTGTTAGGGTTAATGAAAAGTGTGAAACAATCAATAATTTTTTGTTGTTTTGGTTTTATTGTTCATTTTGAATATCAAATAAGTACGTGTAAAAGTTAATTCTAGACTTCTTATTTTCCTCTATATTGGAAGTAGTGTGGGGTGTCAAGCTGCACAGTTCACCTACAGGGCCACTCACCCTTGGACCGGCCCTGTCTGGAGCACTGAAATGCAGGATCCTTGTCAATTTACACCCCTGTAGGCTCACAGGTACAGAACTGGCAAAAGAGCAGTGGGCTAGCGCACCACTAACAGATTTCATAGATGTTAGGGGCTGGAAGGGACCTCGTGAGATCACTGGGTCCAGCCTCCTCCCCCCCCCCCACCATAGGCAGGAAGTCAGCTGGGATCAAGTGACCCCAGCAAAAAATAAATCCAGCAGTTTTTGAAAGGAGCCCATCCACCAATCAGGAGGCAGCAAGAGAAATAAAATCGCGCCTCTGTCCTGAGGGAAGGGGGGAAAGAGCTCCCCCAGACCTGATTGAAGACTGCAACATGGTCAGGTGGGAAGGCTTCAGGGGCGGAGCCCTGGAGAGTATAAAAGGAGCTGCATGCCCAGCACAAGGGAGATGTGTTGGGGGAGGGAGAAAAGAGAAGAGCAG